AAAAAAAAACGATGTAAGTTTTGTTTTTCCCTTGCTTTCTATTTCCTGACTCGTCTCCGGTCGTCTAGAGCGTCTTTTAAAGGTGTACCGCACTACCCATGACAATTTGCGCCCCCATCCTGCCCTTGGCGATTTTCCGCGCTTTTAAGTCGACTGGGAACGAGCCAGTGCTTCGAATTTTTTTCATTAACAATTAGAAAAGCGCGCGCAATATATTATCTGGTTAGCTTTACGTTACGAGCCTTTGTGACGTTATTTATCAATTGAAACACTTGATAAAGTCAAGATGTTTGTCACTACATGGCAAGCAATTTTATACGCCATGGAAATGATGGACAGGTTACGTTCCGAAGAAAAGTGTAAGGTAGGGTATCTTATTGTTTTCGGTTGCCTTGCTTGTCAAAAACAGACCAAAAGAAAATGTCAACATATCGTGCGTCCGTTAGAATCGACAATCAAGGACTCAAATTCCAGTCTGATTGTTTGTCAGTGCAAATGATATTTTTGTTATTTTTTATACACAAAACTATGATCCAAAAGCTTTAAGAACTCATGTCAATGCAGTAATTCTGGTGAAGAGCCTCTCGAAACTCTAAGAGATGCTGGCAGAGATACCTGAGAGATAAACGGCAAAGATGCTTGGCCTAAATAAAACTTAGTTAGCGAGCTGCCGGGGGAGAAGGAGGACGGCGCGAAGAAATTGGGTTGGTTTTCGATTAAATATACCTGCTTCCCAAAAAGCTCTGTAATATTTTAATGATTTCCCTGTATTGGTAGTTACTCACCAGTCAGTTTTCTGTACTCCCCCCTTAATAATCTATTGGCGACAATTGATCTACCTCTGTACCCCCGAAAACCAAGCGACTAATGATAAATGGCCCCTTTCTTTGCAGCATGTGCAAGACACTGTTCAGGCTTCCATTTTAGTGGATCCTGTCACAGAAGCTGATGTGGGCCAGTCCATTGTCGAGACGGTGGTGAGCGCCATGCCTCAGGTGGGAGCCAAAAGGCTCTGTAATATTCTTATGATTTCCCTGCATTGATTCTGTACTCCCTCCTTTTATACTATGTCAACTGATCCACCTCTGTTCCCTCTGAAAGCCATATGATATATGATTCCCTA